GGGGAAGAACAGGCTGGTCCGGGGCTGACCAATCCTGCTCCGCCGGACCAGGCTTGTTTCTCTCTCAGACAGACGGACCAAAAGACGAGGCGGACCAGGCTCAGAGAAAACTTGGAGAAATTTTCCCGTTCGCCGGGAAAAAGGAAACGGCCAACGGGCTTGGCCCGGGCCTGACCAGACTTGACCGTGGACAAACCAACCCCCACCAGAGGACAAGACTTCGTGATTGGGATCAATCGAACCGAGTTTTCGCCAGAACGTTGCGTAGCGTAGTGAGATGTGCGATATCGAAATACGAGTGATCGTTGTGTGATTGTATGCGGGTAGAATTTGCATGGCGTTAAACGGTAGCTCGATAGGGACCGGATACCGTGATACGTATGGTTGTACTATGGGGAAGTTGCACGTTGTGTGCCATGTGTGTAGCTTGCTCGTGCGTACCAGTTAAGCGTGATTGTGTTTGTGGATGGTTGTGGACTCAACCATCACCGTCATGGACTTGACGGGCGTTTGAGACGCATTTTAGTCGTGTGCGACACGACGGCCAACGTCATAGATTTGACGGGCGTGGACTCGCACCTAGTCATGGACTTGACTAGGGTATATGGCTGGACCCTATAGTGGACTCCATACGGGTATGATTATATTTCCGTTGTGTCATGGACTTGACATCGGTAGTCACGAGAGTGACAGACGCAGGAGACGCGCACGATCACATGCGATGCGATGGCCAACGTCACGCGAGTGACGGGCGTGGATTCGCACCTGGTCATGGACTTGACCAGGATATACGGCTAAGCCCTATGGTGGACTCCATACGGGCGTGATTGTGATTGCTATTTACGTGCTTACTGTGTTTTTACTTATTGCATGTGTTTTCTTTATGAAAATGTCGACTGTACCGTTCTCGTTGGGAACGGGATTTCCGGGTTCAACCCGGGCTACTCACTAAGCAGTTGTGCTTAGCCCTCGTAGTTTACATTTTTCAGATCACGAGGATTACGCCTAGCGCATCCGGCAGACGACGACCTGAGAGAGGCAGCATCATGTACGGGATTTACATTTTGGGTTACGAGACTTGTATTTTCCGTATTTTGTACGGTTAAATTATAACTATTCGGACATGTGTTATTTTGCGATACTAATCGCCGGTTGTACTTTCTGCTGCTTACTCTGGTTTATTAAAAATGTTTTTGGATTTCGTGATTTTGCTTCCGCGACTTATTATTTTATTTTATATCGTCCATGTGGCACAGCCCGTATACTTTACACAGGTTACGGGTGTCACAGATGTGTCTTATGCTGCAAAGATGCTGAATCCCATGCGCACTTGTTCTTTTTGTGCAATTACAACTATGTTTTATGGTTGTCCTTTGCTGCGAAGCTTGGTGGAAATCCACAAACGGATGTTAGGTGCTGCCTAGATTGGGTAAAACAGGCAGAAAAACCGGATGCTCACAATAGGGGGATCATAATGAAGCTATTGACATAACTTGCGGTGTACGAGATATGAAAAGAGAGGAATGCCTGAATTCATAAGAACCAGTGGACCTCGATGAATCAAATGAAGCTCAAGGTCGATCGACTTATAAAAAATATCCTCATATCCTTGTAAAAGACGGTAGACTCGAACATGAATGAAATTATGCAACTATGATATCGCAATGATTAGTTTTTGTGTTTGTTTTGGCCCGCTTTGCATGGGAATCCCTTTGTTTTTGGTAACATTTTACCTATTGTATATGTAATTCTTCTGGTATCAATATAACAAAGCACATTTATACCAAAGAAAACCCACGCAACGAAACGAACACTAACCTCATCACCATATCGGTATCCTACAAATATTACAAAAATATTTGATTTTCTTCATAAATTATAAAAGTACGTACATAATAATCATGATAACAAATTTTCTATATTTGTAAAGAATTATAAAATATATTTTTATTTTCACTTACCATTGTAGAGCGGATTGGAGGATAAATTCGGAGAGAATGAGGAATGAATACAAAATCCTATAAACAAGTAATTGCTCGTCGTCTTTTTGTGATGGGCTCTCAATTGCTATCACCCACGCATATCTTTGGAGGAGAAAAAATGGTTAAATAGAACCACAAATTAAATATATTTTTATTCTAATCCAGATCAAAATTAAAAAAATATAACGTGGGATTGTTTGTATAAGAGTCTAATCTGATAAATGATTTGAACATAATATCTACACATATTTGGAATATAGAAATATAACAAAAAAACTTACAGAGGATAGAGCAACATCAACATTGGCCTGCAGAAATGATCGAAAGTATTAGGTCAATCAAAGAAACATGAGATTTTATCTCATTTGAAAGAGAAAAATTTTAAAAAAAAATTATAATTATATATATAAGATAAAACAAGAGTATATTAATTCTGTATATTTATTTTTTTTATGGAATATATTCATTTAATTTAAGAGAATAAATAAAATTATAAGATATTAAAATGAATTGCATACGATTATTACATACATGAATATTTTATGTATGAATTTATGTACGTAAAAAATCAGTAAACTTCAAATTAATATAATTTAATAAATGAATGTATTAAATTAATATCTCACACATTTTTCATACAATACATGCTCTTTTTAATGCATGAAAATTAATGGATAAGTTATGAAATGAATGTATAACCCTCTTATATTTTAATTAAGAATTGATTACTTAATTTATAACTTCTCATATTCTCAATAATAGAACACATATCATATTCCCATTTAAACAAATTGTATTTTTATATATATGATTTTTACTCATAAATTAGGGGTTGGCGTTTCGAAAGAAATCCAAATCGAAACATAGGATATTTTATCGATCCAAATCGTCTAAAATTATCAAACAATATTAATTTTAAACAAATCGAATTTGTTAGAATCAAATCCAAACCAACCGAATTTAAAAAAAAAATAACAGGTTCTAAATTTTTTAATAAACAATAAAACCGGACCGGAACCGAAATCAAATCGAACCGAATATAATATAATAACCGATTGGTAGCTATTTTTGTAAAACCGAAAGAACCGAACCGAGTCATTCATGATCCTAACACAAACCGAATAACGAAAAGTACTCATCCCTATCAGAAACTATGATTAGTGTAGTTTAAACTAAATGAAAAGGTTCAACTAAATAATCATCCAATGCACATTATTTATTCAACACTAAAAATATAATTAAAATGATAAACACATTAATCTGGTATTCAACATTTTAACTCTATGTTATAATTATAGTCCATAACCCTTAAAAATAATGATATTGATTAAAAAATATAAATAAAAAAGTTATTGATAATCTCTCTTAAAATTTTGCAAAATACTGTTATTACAAGACTTTAAAAAATTCTTCATCTAAGAATATGAATTATAAAATCAACAACAAATTGTGTTATATACAATATTAAAATTATTAATGAAATTTTCAAAAACTTATATGTATTTTTAGTCCGCACTATCCGCACAGATTATTTTCTAGTATGTTTTGAATTTTTCGTTGAAATTCCAACTGATATCGGTTGGAAATTCCAACGGAAAAAGCAATTAAAATTTCGTTGAAAATTCCAACGGATATCGGTTGGCAATTTCAACGGATATCGGTTGGAATTTCCAACGAAAATATCTGTTGAAAATTCCAATGCGTATTCAACGGAAAGCAATTTCCAACGACGGTTTTACAATGGAAAAATATGTTGAAAATCGTAATTTCCAACGGATTTTCGAACATTTCCAATGGATTCGTTCGTCGGAAATGATTTTTTTTGTAGTATATTTTTATTTACGTATGTAAAACATGTTAATGTATTTGATAATATTTTTTTGTTGCAATATACTCTGACAAATGGTTTTTAAATTTTTATATTTTGAAATTTTACGGTTGTGATATTATTTATCCATGTGATATATCTTGTATGTGAGATATGGATTACGGGTGTTAAAAGGTCTATCGAGTCGGTTAATCTTATGGACCCATTGGGCGAAACACGGGACGAACCGCTACTTCAGGATCAAGTAAAGTGTCTTTGAGGCCAATTGTTCAAGCTTATCCAACCCCGCAATGGACTAAATTCTTGTCTAATAAAGGAAAACCTAGCTCACGACTGAATTGATGATAAACCTTGGAAAGTAAAGCTAGATTAGTGTCCTTGTCCAAATCTTAGCAAAATTCATTTTGTTATTTTTTTTCCTTTCTTAGTAGTGTTATGCTATAGTCGTCACATAGGTGAGAGAGAGCGTGCTCAAGCGAGAATGAGGGGTTTTGTATCCAATCGAATAAATGAAAGAAGATCCGATAGAGATTAAATATCTCCGATATATTCAAAATAACAAACCAATAATACCAAAATAACTACTTCCTAGGAGTATATCACGGCTCTAGTTTTTTTCCTTATTATTAAGAATTTTATTAAAAATAAATTATATTATATATTAAAATTTATGTCTGAATATCTGTTATGGTAGCAATTCTTGGTCCGATCAATACCATATAGAAATTGCATTTCTCACCCAGATTTTTTATACAACACTGAGTCGCTAAGTGAAAATTTCCAAATAAAAACAGAGTATTTTGGGTAACCGAATATCTTGTATCAAAATCCATACTAATTTCGGTTATCGATTTTATTTAGAATCTTTATGGAAAAAAATTATCATGATAAAGGTGTATATTATTTGATTCCATTTATATATAGATAACCGAAATCTCAGCACACTATTTAATTCATAAGATATCACTAATAATAGAAATATGGTACTAAAAACTTGGAAGGGGCTAAAAATAGAAACAAAAATAAAAGGGCGTAATATTCCTGAGGAGTTATAATATACAAAAATTAAATGGTAAAAAATAAAAATAAAAATTAGGAAAAGATGCGATGCGAGTAAAAGAGGTCAAGTGAAGAGGAAAGTATATATATTCGTTGAAAGAGAAGGAAAAGGTAAAGTAGACATTTTTTTATTCTCTCGCTCTGCTCTGCTCTGCCCTGCCCTGCCCGTCTCCCCAACTTCTCTCGTCTTTGGCTTCGCTCTCACTCCTCATGCCATGAGGAACTCTTCCCCTCCCACCGCCGGCGAGGTTCCGGCGAATAATCTTCGGCCGCCTTTTTCCTCTTCCTACGATGATCACCATCGCTACCGGCAGAATCATCATCGGAGTCAAAATCTGCCCCACCGCCAGTACCCTAATCCCAGCTTCCCGCCAAATTACCGGCGCGATCAGCCTCCGCGGCCGGGAAAGACTCCGCCAGGTAGGAATCTCCGATCTAATTTCGTCGTCGAGCTCCTGCACCCGACCGCCTATTGCTACAAGGAGCGGCCGGTGCCGGCGAGACGGCAAGAGATCGGATCCCTCCTTTTTCGGTGTGGAATATCGGCGGAGACAGTGCTTGTGCCTCAGTCAGGGTCTATCGCTGGCAGCTTCACTTTCCGGCAGTGGGTCGACGCTCGAGCCGCCGTCTTGTCTCTCTGGGACTCTCGTCTCCAAGAGAAACACGATTTCGTTCCTAGGTTAATTCGAAACATTGTCGTCCCGTCCGACATGGACGAGGTCAATGACAAGCTTCGAGGCCTCTTCTCAGCTCACGTCGTGTCGCTCTTGGAGAATTGTGAAGGCGTCAAGAAGTGGAACGCCGAGTTAGATGAGAAATCCCGCCGAATCGAAACCGTCTCGGCTTCCATGAAGAAGAAGGGTGGTCTCGGATTGAAGGATTTCAGCGACTTGAACGACAAAAAGAAGGTTTTAAAGGCAGAGGAGGAGTTAATCGCCAAGCGATTGGGTGAATTCAAGAGCGCTATGGAGTGCATTTTGAGGTTTCTCGAAGGAAAAAATGCAATCTTTGAGGGTTCTGAAGAGGAAATTGGTGTTGAAGTGTTTAACTTGGACGGGGGCTATGAATGGCCTCGTATTCACCAACTGATCCGCAGGGAGTGTCGGAGGTTGGAGGATGGGCTGCCTATCTATGCCTACCGGCGCAATATTTTGAGGAGAATTCACGGTGAACAGGTATCCTGGAAATTTTCAATTTTGAACATGTTTTAGTGACCTATCCAAGATATTCATGAACTTTTTCTGGATTGAAGCTGTAGGTTTAGATTGGTGTGGATTGCTAGAAAGCTAGTAATTCCATGTCAGATATCTCGGAGACTTGTTCATTTTATGTATCCCTTCTTTCGATCTTGAGCTCAGAAGTCACAGTTTATGCCAATGAGCCGATCTTCTTTATGATTTGATGTTTGAACATGTACTCTTTCTTCTTCCATTGTGTGCACAGATTATGGTATTGATTGGAGAAACTGGTTCAGGGAAGAGTACACAGTTAGTTCAGTTCCTTCTGGACTCAGGAGTGGCTGCCAGAGAGTCGATTATTTGTACACAACCACGGAGAATCGCTGCCATCTCATTGGCCGAAAGGGTTAGAGAAGAATGTGGCGGCTGTTATCAGGGCAATTCAGTCTGCTCTCATCCAACTTTTTCGTCTGCTCAGGGCTTTAATTCGAAAGTTATATACATGACAGATCATTGTCTACTTCAACATTGCACGAAAGATAGGAACTTAACCGGCGTTTCATGCATTATCATTGATGAAGCCCATGAAAGAAGCTTAAACACAGACCTTCTTTTGGCATTGCTTAAAGATTTGCTATGCAGAAGGGTTGACCTAAGGGTTGTCATAATGTCTGCCACAGCTGATGCCTGCCAACTCTCAAACTATTTTTTTGGTTGTGGAATTTATCATATCACTGGAAGGAGCTTTCCGGTTGAGATTGTATACATCCCTAGTGATGCAGAAGTGGCTCCTGTCTTTGGCGGTATTCCTTCATACGTTCATGACGTTGTGAAGATGGCATTGGAATTGCATAAAACAGAGAAAGAAGGAACTATTCTTGCTTTCTTGACTTCCCAGGCAGAAGTAGAGTGGGCATGCCAAAGGTTTGAAGTTCCGTCTGCAGTCGCTTTACCTTTGCATGGGAAGCTTTCTTTTGAAGAGCAATTGAGGGTTTTCCAGAATCATGTTGGGAAAAGAAAAGTCATATTTTCCACAAATATCGCAGAAACCTCATTGACTATTCCTGGGGTCAAGTATGTGATTGATTCAGGGATGGTTAAAGAGGGTAAATATGAACCTAGTACTGGTATGAGCATCCTTAAGGTTTGCTGGGTCAGCCAGAGTTCTGCTAAACAACGTGCTGGCCGTGCTGGAAGGACGGGTCCTGGAAGATGTTACAGACTGTACTCCCAGTACGATTTTGAGTTGCTGAGTCCAAATCAGGTACCCGAAATTCAGAGGGTCCATCTTGGTGTGGCAGTTTTGAGGATTGCTGCACTTGGTGTAAAAAGCATAGATAATTTTGATTTTGTTGATGCGCCCAGCCCGAAAGCCATTGCAATGGCCGTCCAAAATCTTGTTCAATTGGGAGCGGTTGTTGAGAAGAATGGAACTCTTGAATTAACACATGAAGGGTACTGTTTAGTTAACTTGGGTCTTGAACCAAGACTTGGGAAGTTAATTTTAGGATGCTTCAAGCATCGAATGGGCAAAGAGGGGCTTGTTCTTGCTGCTGTTATGGCAAATGCTAGCAGTATATTCTGCAGAGTTGGTAACATTGATGATAAGATGAAAGCTGATTCCCTCAAGGTATGAATATGAGTTTTTCTTAAAGAATTGTTATGTTCTAATTTTATTGGTCCTTTTTGGTTACCAATTGCAGACATCACCTTAGACCATCTTGTTGGCTATTTTCACTCTTTCTATGACCTATGCTTCTTGATGAGAATGTCAACTTTTTTTTATTGTAAAAACATTTGATCTACAAGTCAGTTCTTTCGCTGTCTAGATCATTTTATAACCTTTTAGCACACATTCTAAAGGTTTTGCTTTGTGTTCTTCAAGGTGCAATTCTGTAATCGTAATGGTGACCTTTTCACTCTTCTTTCGGTGTACAAAGAATGGGCATCTCTGCCTCGAGACGGAAGAAACAGATGGTGCTGGGAAAACAGCATCAATGCCAAATCAATGAGGAGATGCGAGGATACAGTACGTGAATTGGAGATGTGCATTGAGAAAGAACTTACTCTTGTCTGTCCCAGTTTCTGGGTTTGGAATCCAAACAAAGCTACTGAGCATGACAAGAATTTGAAAAAAGTTATACTTTCATCCCTTGCTCAAAATGTGGCCATGTACACTGGCAATGATCAACTTGGGTATGAGGTGGCGTTGACTGGTCAACATGTTCAGTTACATCCGTCGTGTTCATTGCTTGCATTTGCCCAAAAGCCAAGCTGGGTTGTTTTCGGTGAACTTCTATCGGTTGTGAATCAGTACTTGGTATGTGTGACCGCGTTTGATTTTGAAGCTTTGTGTATGCTTGACCCACCTCCGCCTTTTGATGCCTCTGAATTGGATAATCGAAGACTCCGAGTGAAAAAAATACTTGGTTGTGGAAGCATTCTGCTAAAAAGATTTTGTGGGAAATCTAACCATAATCTGCTTTCACTTGTTTCACGTGCCAGGTCTCTCTGTATGGATGAACGGGTTTGTGTTCAAGTTGATAATGATCGGAATGAGATTTTAGTGTATGCAACTTCCAGTGACATGGAAAAAATGTCAGCCCTTGTGAATGATGCCTTGGAGTTTGAAAAGAGGTGGTTGCGTGATGAATGCATGGAGAAATATCTATATAAGGGACGTGGATCTGTGCCTTTTGCACTGTTTGGGTCTGGTGCTCAGATAAAGCATCTTGAAGTTGATCAGAGATTCTTGACTGTTGAAGTATATTATTTTGGTGATAAAGTAGTTGATGACAGGGGGCTGTTGATGTTTCTTGAGGAAAAGCTTGGCGGGTCTATTTGCTGTGTTCACAAGTTGTTAAATAGACAAGAATGTGATGAGAAAGAGAAGTGGGGCAGGATAACCTTTCTCACGCCAGATTCTGCAATGAAGGCAACAGAACTTCAGAACTTTAACTTTAACGGATCTATAATTAAACTATTTCCGTCATTTGCAAGCGGTGGAGGAAACTATAAAATGCCTTCTTTCCCTTCTGTCACGGTCAAGCTTCGATGGCCTCGGAGGCGGAGCTTAGGTAAAGGTTGTCTTAGGTGCGAATCCGGTGATATCCATAGCATATTCGCTGGAATATCCAACCTAATGATAGGCGGTAACTTTGTTCGGGTTCGGAGAGATACAAAATCTGAGGATTCCATTATGATAAGTGGGCTTGATAAAGATCTGTCTGAGGCCGAAATTTTGGATGTTTTGGAGTGTCTTACAATGAGAAACGATCTAAACTTTTTCTTGTTCAGGGGAGATGTGATAGAGAATCGATCTCCCGCTGCCTGTGAAGATGCTCTATATCAGAGAATCTTTGGGTGTATGTCAGCGAAGAATCCTGAGCCTAACACCGTCCGTGTTCAGGTTTTCGAATCTAAAGCAACGGATTATTTCATGAAAGCATTGGTTACCTTTGACTGGCGGTTACATTTGGAAGCAGCAAAAGCTTTGCAGGATTTAGATGGAAAAGTACTGCCTGGATGGCTTCCATGGCAGAAGATAAAGTGTGAGCAATTGTTTCAGAGCTCCTTGACCTGCTCTGCCTCGATCTATAACATTATTGAAAGGCAACTGAAGGGTTTATTAAAAAGATTTGAGAGACAAAGAGGTAATTCAGAAACCAAATTTTATCTGTTTGTTCTTCAATTGTTATATCATCATGCGTCAACTGCAACCAACATATAAACTTGCTGAATCCCGTATGCTCAACCATGGGTGAATAATTGACTGCCTTTATTAGCTAACTGGTGCGTAGTTTCTCAGTAACTGTTACTGTTTGATTTATCTGCTACTTTCTTTTTCTTTTGTGAAGATAATCGCGACATTTGTCTGGATGTTTACTTTGAAAACTATAGATTCCAACTCTTGTAAGAGGGTCAGTGAGAAGTTAATTGTTGGATCATTGCAGGCTCAGGATCAACGATCCATGAACTGGCTTTAGTTGTTATCTCTGAGTAAACACCATTCATGCACAGGATTATAGTAGCCTTATGCTTCTGCTAAATGTTTTCCCGATACTTATTGGAGGTTGATACCGTGATTGTTTTGCATTTTGTAGGAGCTGAATGGCGTCTAGACCCCCTTCCTAGCGGTGCTTATCGTGTGAAAATATCTGCTAATGCAACACGACCCGTTGCCGAGATGCGGACATCTCTTGAAGAACTCATGAGAGGGAGGCTTGTAGATCATCCGAGCCTAAGCCCAGCATTGCTGCAGCATCTTTTCCGCAGAGAGGGTATTAATCTGATGCGGACAATCCAGGAGGAGACTGAAACGTACATAATTTTTGACAGGTACAATCTGGCTGTACGCATCTGTGGATCAGGAGAGAAAATTGCCGACGCTGAACAGAAGCTGATTGACTCGCTCCTGACCTACCATGAAGGCAAGCAACTGGAAATTCATCTCCGAGGTCCTGATCTGCGTCCTGACCTAATGAAGGAAGTTGTAAAGCGTTTCGGTCCTGACCTCCAAGGTATTAAAGAAAAGGTACCTGGGGTTGATCTCGGGCTCAACATCAGGCAGCACATTATTCTGGTTCGTGGCAGCAGAGAGATGAAGCAGGAAGTAGAAAAGATTGTCTATGAACTGGCGGACATTGAAAATGAACAGAGCACAGAACCAGATGACCTCGAAGCTGCATGTCCCATTTGCTTGTCTGAGATCGAGGATGGCTACTTACTCGAGGGATGCTCACACCTCTTTTGCAAAGCATGTTTGTTGGAACAGTTTGAGGCATCGATGAGAAACTCTGACACGTTTCCCATACTCTGTGCACGTGAAGGCTGTGGGGCTCACATCGTGCTTGCGGATCTGAAGGCCCTTCTATCTCAGGAGAAACTCGACGAACTCTTCCGGGCATCCCTGTCCTCATTCGTCGCATCGAGCAGCAGAAAATTCCGATTCTGCCCCACACCAGACTGCCCGGCAATCTATCGCGTGGCGGGCCCCTGTGAACATGGTGAGCCGTTCATCTGCGGAGCCTGTGACTCGGAGACGTGCACTAAATGTCACCAAGAATACCACCCGTGTCTCTCCTGTGAAAGGTACAAACAGTTCAAGGAAGACCCGGATCTGTCCCTAAAGGAATGGGCGAGAGGGAAGGACGTGAAGCTGTGTCCGGCCTGCGGCCACACGATAGAGAAATCGGAAGGGTGCAACCACGTGGAGTGTCGGTGTGGGAGGCACATCTGCTGGGTTTGCTTGGACATCTTCAGCAGCCCCGAACCTTGCTATGACCATCTTCGGACCATTCATGGCGGCATTGGAATCGCCATGGACGTCATCGACCTCATCTGACTTTCATATGCAAAGCCCAATGTACATATTTATAAGCCTTCGGTAATGGCGCCCGATCATATTACAAATCTAAGTAAACGGTTCAGTATGGTTTTTAGAGGTTTTTTTTTCTTTTGTGTATTTTAATAAGTGGCGTTTAGTGTAAATATGTGCTTTTGCAAAGCATGTTTTTTTAATATATATATATATATATATATATATATAGATATATATCACAAGAGTTTCAATAAATTATTATCATTATTATTATTAGAAAAAATAATATTTAAATAGCTAAATTTTTACAAAAATCATAAATAAATATATCATATAAATATTTGAACTTTTTAAAACTTTTATAAAAATACCTAAATTTTTAAAATTTCAGATAAATACAAAATCCGTTAATAGCTTGGACTTTCAATTTATTTAGAAAGCTTTTAAAAATTTAGATATTTATGTAGGATTTTTGAAAGGTTAAGATATTTTATATTGAAGTGTTATAGTTAAAATATTTATTTGAAATTTTATAAAAATTCATTTATATATATGTGATTTTATATTATTATTATTATTAAAAATACAAATACACAAATTCTTCAAAATTTGATAAAAAAGATATGCAAACTTTTAATTGGACAAAATATACATCGAATGTTTAAACGCATACACAAGGGGCGGCCCTATATCTACTGGGATGGGGTCATATGCACCTAATTAAAATTATACAATTTATTTATATATTTTATAAAATTATAACCAAAGTAAAAAAAATACCTCCATACGATTTTTGTAGTAGCCCCACCCTTCATCTCCTCCCGCTCTTTTTATTTACTTGTTTTTTATTTTATTTTTCTATATTGTTTTTAGGTTATTTTTAGGATATGCAATTACCACTTTTTTTATTTATAACGCCCGAAACCCATATCCCGCAATACGAGTTGCGTCACATGGACAACTAAAATAAAACCCAATTTTCAAAAATCCGCGGGAATTTAAAACTTTTCTTTTCAGAGTTGAGTGGAAGAAAACATTCATACACATATATGATACATTATTTTGGAGATAATTATACATAGTCGAGTGGTAGTGATAAAATTATTACAAACCACGAAAGTCTACCACCGATATAATACAAACCATTTCCCAATTCTAAATATATCAAAGTACGTAATTATACATGATCGGTAGAGGTGCACTGCCCAGGTCTCCGATGTCTGCTCCTCGGCTACTGTTGCTCACGACCTGAAACGTTGCGTAACAACGTCCTAAACTAATTGCTTAGAGAGTGAACTCGGACGTAACCCGGAGTTCTATTCTCATGGTACCAGGGAAAGCACACACATACACACACACACATATATATATATATATATATATTAATATTCTAATAAACAGGAGTAAGAAAACATAGAATCACGGTAAGCATACAACATTCACAATCAACTCTGTACGATAAGTCGCAGGATAGAGTCCGTCAAATCGTCTCTACGCGCACCATGCGTAGGTAATGTACTCCCCATGTGCATAGCACAACCACCTCTCTCCTCGGAATCAATCTACTCCGCAACCACTCGGATCCGGCATAAAGATATTTTTCTCCTCCCGAACACATCACCCCACCCTAGCATCGATGTCACCTCTCGATACTAGGCATGTCACCCAACTCCGGCATTGATGTCACCTCTCAATACCGGAGCTCACCAGACGTCGGCTATGACCGACGCCATCGACTATAACGAGAGAGCACATCGCTGCCACTCTCCCTCACCGACCATCCGCCGCAGAAATACTTGTCAGGTTCGTGCCCGAACCTGGCAGAGTAAGTCCATACCACCTCCTCGGGAGACCCCAATCTACCCGAATCTCAGGTATATGATGCCCTCTTCCTCGGGATATTCATATCCCGACGTCCGCTCCGTCACTAGCGGAAACGTTGGCGCGGTTCCAAGAACCATGTGTTCCTCGTCACGCAATAGTACCGACTACAATCGACTATCCACGCAAGTCATCGGGGTGCCCATAACCGTCCGACCGTTCGGACGTTGGCGCGATCGTATCATCGCCATATTCACAATCATATCCCATATGGGTGACAACGGACCCGGATCGGATGGCCCATAGATGGGACGCAATCTCGCAATCATCGTGCATTCATTCACAAATGCCCGTTTCTACAATCACGCGCTAAACGTTATTCCGAACCCTTCCGCCCGGATAACCAGTTCGGTTCATTCCGTGGTTTTTAACCTTACCTGTTATTCATTTTGGGTCCAGACTACGTGGGGTCCGGTCTGTCCCATATTTTCGGTATATTTTATATTTTTCACTTTTTCACAATTTTAGTCGGGGTAATACTAGGTCCGTCTTGTTAAGTTTTTCAATTTTCTACGTGGTGAAATTTTAAGGTTTCGTTACTTTTTTTTTCAGACCGATCGGTCTAGCCCTCAGACCGATCGGTCCAGTCGGTCGGAACGGACGTTCTGGAGTGTCCAGACCCGACGGTCTGACTGGTTCTGGACAAGGACGTTCCGACTTGACCAGAACGGACGGTCTGGCTAGTGCAGAACGGACGTTCCGGACTTCATCTTCAACCTCTGGACTTCTGTATCTCCTACAGACCTAGAACGGACGGTCTGACCTCAGACCGGACGTTCTAGTCCTCGGAGTTCTCCCAAAACACTTAAACATGCATGATTCACTATGGGTAATCTATCAGAACTCATATAACTTCATGTAGAACACGAATCAAACATCAATTTGGCATGAAATCACTCATCTGGATTATGCCGATTATTTTTTGTGATGGTAGTTTTTCCCCGGATTGATTAAAATTCCCTCCGTGATAAATTTTCTTTTTACTTTACTATATTTTTTTTTCTCTTCTTTTTTTTACTATTAATTATTTACTATATATTTTTTTTATTCTCTCAATTTTTGTTTTTTTAATTTACGAACTCTCTCTCCTCTTGGCGGACTCGCTCACTTTGGCCTCTCCCCTCCGCAACGTCTCCCTTTTATAGATGAAAGAAAGCATTTTTTATTTTTATTTTAATATTACTTAATTATTATTTATTTTTTTTTATAAGTGGTAACGCCACTAATGCATATATATATATATATATGTTAGTATATGTTTCACGTGGGCTGTTCTCACCTATCCCACCTAACTATATATATATATATATAATTTATGTTTTTTAATAATATTATTATTTATTAAGAATTAATTAATAATAATAATTTTTTTTAATTAATTAGGTTGTGATCAAGCCAACCTCTCAGATTGTGAATCAAAAGGTTAGCTTTTCTCTCAAGAAAGTTCTTCATCGAAAGTTTGGTCAGTGGGCGGTTCAAAATCGTTTTGAATGCTAATTCCGCTGCGTAAGCCCACGGACCAGATCCTAGCATGGTTTTGAACCGGCGGGCTAGGATTCCGTGTGACCCAGCAGTGGTATCAGAGCTCAGTTCTTCGTTTCGATGAAGAACGATCACTCTTGAGCAAGTTTGAAATTTTGTTCAAACTTGGTTTTCTTTGGTTTTTGATCTAAGATAAATCTGTTATATAATTGAATCTATGGTAGATTAAATTATGTAACAAAATGTAGATGCTTGAATCATGAATTAACTCGAGAAAACAGAGCGAAAAACGGATTCGAACAGAGCCAAAAATCAGATCAAGATGAAAAATCTCGTCTGAAATTTTGGCCAAGAATCCCGTGGTCCGGCTGACAAAAAGTTGGTCAGGGCCGGACCACAGGTTTGGACTTGGTCAGATCACTCGTCGGACCAGAAATGAAGCACGAACCAAAAAGGAAAGAGTCTTGGTCCGACGGACCAAAATGTTGGTCCGGCGGACCACACGTTATGTTTGGTCAGGCGTGCTCGGGGACCTGAGAAAGGAGAAACGGATCAAAAGAAAAAGAAGTCCTGGTCCGGCAGACCAAAGTGTTGGTCCGGCGGACCAGACTTCAATTTTGGTCAGCGAGCTCGGCGGACCAAGCAGAGATGAAATGGACCAAACTGTCCTGGTCCGGCGGACCAGACGTAAATGGTTTGGTCCGATGAGAAAAATTGGTCCGAGAGTTGCTCCGAAACGTCTGGTCCGGCTGACCAAGAGTTGGTCAGCCCCGGACCAGAACGTTTCGGATCAGACGGACCAACAGTTGGTCTGAGAGAGGAGCGGAGTGGCGGACTGTGTGTTTGGTCCGGCGGACCAGATTTGGTCAGCCCCGGACCAACACTTCAGTCCGCGCGTACCCAGGTCTGGTCCGAGAGCGAGAAGAGACACGGAGTGGTCCTGGTCCGGAGCTGACCAACAGTTGGTCAGCCCCGGACCAACTTGACTGACTCCGCCTGTTTCTTCTCTGGTTCGAGCTGACTTCGAAGGCCGAGTTAGGTTTGGTCCGGCGGACCAAAATTTGGTCAGCCCCGGACCAACCAACTGTTTTCAGAATTTTCGCGTTTTCTGAATTCTATTCGGTTAAGTAATGGTTACTTACTGAGTTAATCATGATTGTTTTGGTTTATAACTTAATTATGTAGAGGGTCTACATGAATTAAGTACATAAAACTTAATCAAGTATAGGAGCTACTTGATTGAGTGGGAGTTTCAGGACTTAGCTTACTAAGCTGAATAGACGGTCTATTCGGGCTAAGTAACAGAGTCAGATCAAAATATAATTGTTATATTTTGATCATTCAAGAATAGAGCTATTACAAGTAGAGTTCTTGCCAAGACCTTGGTAATTCGTGTATGGGACATGCCAAAGCTGTGCATACCGAATTATTTAAGTGAGACAAGGATTGAGAAATTGTGCTTCTCATTTCTCGAAAGTAATAGGCTGATTCTTGATAACGATAAAATCCCTCGTCATAATTTCAATCTAATACCGTCCATTTTTCGAGCACTTGTCAAGGCTTCGATCGTCTGTGTATGGGTCATGCCAAAACTGAGCATACCGGACAATCTTTGTGAGATAAGATGGAGAAACGGTGATTCTCATATGTTCGAAAATGGTTTGGCTTGAGTTGGGTTATCAAGTTGGACTTAGACCTAACGGTATAGATGTGACTAGAAATATGCGGTAGTATAATGATACTATCTTCCCATAAACGATCTAAGAGTCACATTGGATGTGATTGACATTGGATGTCTGCCTAAATAACATAGGCTTGAGCGTCATGCCAAAGTTGA